GAACTTGCCAGGGCAGGAGATACATACCCCCCCCCCGGTGGTCGCACCCGTTCAGCACTAACCCCTCGTGACGGCTGAACGTTGGCAATGGCTGCTCAAGTGAGGAATTCAAGACGCTGGTGGATTAGACATTTCAGTCGTCCCCAAATAACCCCCCCAAAAAACCCCCAGAGATTTCTCATTACGCCTGAGGGAGAGCATCCTCTCCAGCCAGCCCTCCCCCCACCTCTCTGTTCCTCTTCTACAAAATCTCTAAAGGTACCTTTTTGTTGATGCACCGGATCTAACTTACAAGCAGCTGTTGAAAGCATCAGATGGCTAATTGCATAGATACCCTATTCTCCCAGCGCCATATTTTAATGCACGTTTCAGCGGCTTTAATGCGTTCAAGCAACTTTAACATGCAGACACGGTGTGCCCTGGAAGGCGGGCGTTTGATAGCTTTCTGCCACAAAACGGATTCAGCAAGCTGAGCTAGGCCAGCCGGCGCGCCAGATAAGATTACATTTGCCACGCATGAAAATAAAAAGGTTGTAATAAACTCTCTGAAGGAATAAATCCGGGTGATTATAAAATGCATATTTTCAATGCTTCGATTTTACCTCTCTATTAGCAGGCAGCCAAGGTGACTAGTGGAGAAACGAGGGGCCTCGGCAGACACCCTGTCTCTTGGAGGTGCTCAGTTGTTTATGTCTGGTTTTTAGGACAGCCCTGCCCGATGCCCTGTGCGTGTGTGCGCCCGTGTGTGCGCCCGTGCTGGTGCATGGAAGAGCGTGTGGGAATTTTGTCACCATAGGGTGGCCCCCGGACACATCCACGGTGGGAAACAAGATCACCCGCTCTGAACCAGCAGGGTTCTCTCCTGTGCCCAAGCTGGCTCTTGTGTTTACAACAGATGGTTCGATTAAATTCATGATGATTGTGTTGTTGTTGTGAGTAGCTACTGACCTTGCTGGCTAAGAGGAGACCCTCCATTTACAGTGGAAGTATATCTCTGAATAACCAACGATCTGACTGTGTCGGCATGTAAGAAACATTCTGAAACAATACTGCAAATAACACACGATTCCACTGTACATGGAAGAGACAACACAACCGAGGTCTGTAGGAACGGCGGACACCTTTGTGCTCGGATCACTCACTGGTCTGAGGTGGGAGAAATGAAAGAGAGACTCAATGTCCCTTATCATGGAATTTAGAGAACAAGGGATACTGAGTACCCTTGGATTCATCCTGACAGTCACAAGCCAAGAGGTGTATCCCCTTGGCAAGCCACTTAGAAAATACACGAGTTGTGTAAAAATGCACCCTGTTGTAGAATCATGCGCCATTTGTCCCAACCGGGAGATGTCCGCGGTGCCCTTGACTCCAGAGAAGAAGAAGAGTCAGATGTGGGCATTGTTAATGGACATCACCATTCCTTGGGGGTCGGGGGGGGGAGAGAACGAAAATAAGCAGCACCAGCAAAGCAAGGCAGGAAAAAAATGCTAATCTTTCTAGTGGGACCTGGTTGTAAACGCGCCAGCTGTGCTCCTACAAGATCACCAGCGGCAGCACACAGAAAAGGCAATAAAATTTAAATTTTAAAGAAGCACTTCCAGAATGGCATATTCCCACTTCCACCATCATCCCCGCCTGGCACTGGTTAAAAATGCAGAGGGTTTGCACTGCTGGTTTATATTTGCAATTAAATGATTACCTGAATCTAAGTACTTAAGGAATACTGGAAAGTTTCTTCTTGGCAGGGGTGGGGTGGGGGGAAACTAAGCAGGAGAAAATCATTTCAGCTCCTGCTATCTGCATAAATGAGCCGTTTTATTAACCCATTTGCTTAACAAAAATCAGAAATCTGAATAAACAATTTTTAATCAGAGTGAGGTGGAAACAAAACCCAGCAGGGAGCTCTTATTCACTGCTCCCTCCTGGTTTTACCTTGCCGCACGACACCAGCCACACAGCCTTTACTCTGTTGTGGCATGTGTGTGTGTGCGCGCGTGCACACGCACATGTGCGCAAACACACACACACACACACACCTTTTCAGAAGACATGGTGGATATTAATCAGCATGGGCTCTTCTTAGGAGAATCAAGTTTGGTTTCATAGATCACAATGCTTTCGCTCTCCAGGAAAGGGTGGAGCAATAGAGACTGCAATTAAACAGCCCAGAAGCCGGCTAATCATGGCGTTGGAAGGGGCCTCGAAGGCCATCCAGTCCAACCCTCTGCTGAAGGCAGGAATCCCGACCAAAGCAGATCTGACAGAGGGTGGTCCCATTTTCTTTTGAACGCCTCCAGCGCTGGAGCGCTCACCGCCTCCCCTGGAGGCCATGGGTTTCCTTGCCATACTGCTGCAAGATTTAAGACGTTTCCCCTGCACTTCCACCCAACGCCATGCTGGACAGCTCCCACCCCGACCCAAGAGCTTCCTGGCTGTTCCTCCCTTGCTGGACAGCTGCCCACTTAGGGCCAGAAGCCGTGGGTCACTTTACAGACTCCCCTGAAACGAACGTGTGACGTCTAGAAAGGACCTGAACAAAGCCTGCTCCTGCAACCACCCCGCGGATCCCCAAAGGGAAGCCCCTCCGTCGGCTCTCTGGTGCCCATGCCTCCGTTAGGCACCGTTTGGCCAACACCCTCCTGCCCGTTCCTGCCATTTCGCGAGGCATAAGGTGAGGGCAAAGGGCCTGCTTTGCATAAAACAGCCCATCAGGCTTCAGGTGGCAATAAACTTTTAATCGCCATCTATGCCGGCAGATTTGATCGTAGTAAAACGCTCAGCAGCACATTACTAATCTCCTAGGCAACCTGGTCCCACATACCCATTTGTAATTAAAAATTCCCCCATAAGCTCCCTTTCCGCACAAGCAGCATTATCTCTGCGAGGAGCGGCGTGTCCTCCAGCAGGCGGAGGAAGGCAGTGGCGAGGCAGCGCCGCCGTTTCCCCTCCTGCTGGAGAGAAGGCAGGTTTCGGCTCCTTGGGGAGACCACGCGGAGCCCAAGAATGTGTGTGTGTTTGTGTGTGTGTGTGTGTGTGTGTGTGTGGGTTTGAGGGAAGCCACCCCAAGCCCAGACTGTAATCTGCAAAAGCCACACTTCACATCTGGCTTCGTAACGGTAACTTTTCATAAAGGCAGCTGAGAATAATGCGATCAATTCGCTGTTCATTTTGGACGATTTTCACATGTTTACACGAAGGAGAAAAGAAATGTGAGCAAGACATGGGCGAGGAAAAAAAGACCAGGAGGTTTTAAATTCCAAGCCCCATTTGTCAATAACCAAGAAACAAGTTTCTTACACGGGCAAGGTCTTCGTAATGCAACGGCGAGATTATCAACTAAAACGTAAATCTAAGAGCAAAGATTTCTTGGCTTTTACAAAAAGACAGGAAAGAAAAACAACACCCCTACATTTCACAAAACACTCAACGTTCACAGGTGGGGAGACTGGAGGCAGATGAAATGACCCAGAAATTCCTGAGCACAATTTAAATCATTGTCTATTCTGTTTCAAAGAGGTGATTAATTTTAATTCTCAGGCGTGCCTTGGAGACACAAGAGATCAAAGACAGAGCTGTCATGCTAGGAATTCAAAACCTGCACATTTCTACACCAACCTTTTGTTTCATTTTATTGTTATTTCTTTTTACTAATGCCATGCTTTTCTGTTTAAAAACACACACCAAGTGGCTTCCAAAAGTTAAAAATGGGCAATAAAATGTAATAAAAACAAACTGCCTAGGAAACCCATTGAAGGATGGAGTATATAATAAATCCCTGAAATAAAGGAATAAAATCAACATTAAAAAAACCCAGCTACTTTAAAACAGCGGAGAATCCTAATGGACTGAAATCACACTCGATCAGAGTACCGAAATAAACTGCTTTGTGTCGGTTAGCTCCGTCTTTCAAAACCAGGGTGGAGAGCATGCAGCAACGTCCATTTTTGCAGACTGCGGTGGGTGCTTCCTAGACCCCTCCTGACTTTCCAGCCACCAGAAGAACATTTGGCTAGAAAGTGAGAATGGCCACTTTAGAAAATTCCAGGAGTGCTGACTTTGAGAAAGGTGCATTTTCTGGACTACATACCCCATAGTTCTGCTTTATAGAAGCCCCACCTGCCAGAGCCAGACCTGAGGACAATGAATTGGTGCTCACCTGGAGAGAAGGCCCAGCGAGCAGGCCTCCTGCCCTGGGCGAAGCCTCCCTTCCTGCTAGAAAAGGAAGCTGCCCCCCAGGGTTTCTGGAATGCTTCCTTCACTGGGCAGGTGCTGTGGTTTGAACTGCATTTTAAAAATTTAAAAACACAATGACGGTTCTTCATTGTGCTTTAAGATCTTAATGTTTGCATTCATTTTAATTGTAAGCTGCCTACAGCCCTACTGGTGGGAGAAAGACAGAATGAAGATCAAATTAATAATGATCACGGATAAGGACGGTGGGCAAGCTGTCTTGCAAGCTTTCACGGGACTGGCAGTGTCTCTCCAGGGAGGTGAGCAGAGGTCCCACCACCCTTCATGGCAACCCAAGTTCCTTCCCCCCCTC